ATAATGTCTTTCATGTATCAATGTTAAGGAGATACAGCATCAGATCCCTCACATGTGTTATTAGCAGGACAAGATTGAAATTCAAGCCCGGATCTTCAACGTATGAAGAAGAACCATTTCGATCCTAGTCCAAGAAACTAAAGATTGCGGAACAAAAGAAAATAGCATTGGTGAAAGTTTTTGAAGGAATCATAAGACAGAAAGAAGCAACTTGGGCAATCAGAAGAAACCATGAGACGACAATATCCGCAATCTGTTCACAACAGGCTAAACTTTCGGGACGAAGTTTTTAATTTAGGAGGGGAAGAATCTGTTAACATCCTAGTGCGTGAAGATTGAGTCATATCATAGAGGAAGGGTGAAGTTGGGTTGAAACAAACCCGGTTCGGTAAGCATGAGATGATAAGTGGACTTATTTGCATGGAAAGTTTTACTGGACTTGTTTCGCCTCCAAACATATAGCTTTGGGTAGTAAAGTTGTGTCTTTGTACACTTGAGGTAACCAAGGTAGGATATGTTTACACAAGCCAAGTCATATGCTTCTAGAAGGACTACCCGTTTCTTTATCAACTCACTTTCCCATTTTCATATTCTCTTCTCTTTTCCCTCCCGTCTTCCTTGCAAGTTTCAATAGCACGTTAAGCACTAAAAGTCACCTCCAAGTAAGTAGAGAATTCGCTTGAAGTTATATGTTATCCAACTCTTTAATTGAGTTATAATTGAGATGAGTTTATGAAAGAATTCTTGTGTATAGAGAAGAAAGTTCAAAGGGTAAGCAGAAAAGAGAAGTTAAAAACAGAGCCCCAGCTTTGTGGCAAGACAGTTTTGATATCTCTTTGTTATTTCCCATGTTTTTGCATGAAAAAATTGTGGTGGAGTGTTTGCATCATGAGATGATATGTTTGCTTGTTGTTGGGGTGAAAGTACTGGAAATGATGTGAAAACAGGGGATGATATATGAAACGGATAGAGTTTGCTGGAAAATGTTACCAGCAACTTCATCTTGATTTGAACCCATATAATGATCGAATTAGGAAAATTGGTCCATAGAAGAAGTTATTTGGTTCCCTTTCTGTGTTTAAGCTTTACATGGGCTTCTGAAATCATTCACTTTGAAGTTGTATATTGAGAGTTATGGCCAAAAGAACACAGACATGCACAATCTGGAATCACGTCCGCGCGCTCGCGCCATACCTGAAAACAAGTCGCGCTCTGCGATTTCCCATTGCGCGCCTCGCGCTTGAGCTCAGGTAGCTCTCTGACTCTCAAATGGCACAAACTCGCGCTACGCGACTTTTCAAAAAACCATGCCCCCCCGGGCCGGATTTCCCCCCGCCCGAAGTTGTGTGCCAGAAGCTCTCTGACTCTCAATGTGCGCATCTCGCGCTCCGCGAATCAAACACACGGCCGCGCTCGCGACTTCAATCTCGCGCTCGCGACTTGTGCTGCGCGTCGCGACTTTGAGCCAGAAACCTCTCTGACTTCGATTGCAACTTCTCGCGGTCCGTAGAGGTTTGAATAAGCGGCTCGCGACTTTCTCCTGGAAGCATCTCCTCTCTGACTCTCAATTGCACTTTGCGCGCTCGCAAGGTTTGAAGACGCGCTCGCGACTTCTCCTTGGGAAGCATCTCGCGCTCGCGACTTGTCCCTGTGCGCTCGCGACTTGTGGTTTCATGCATTTTGGACTTCATTTTCCATACAATTACATTCCTTTGCTCAACATACATGCATCCAATCATTGTAAAACAAAAATATAATATAAGAACATGGATTCAAACAACATGTAAGCAAATTTTGGTATCAGAGCAAATCAATATGATGAACTATGACGTTGTGAAACCATTTATGTGCTATTGTGTTACATTGTTGACATGCTAATCTTAAGCTCCATTGAGGTTAGGTGTATGAAACCATGTAAGATAAGGCTATGTCGCCGACATAGAATAGGCAGATCTGCGCCCCTACAAGTTTGGAACTCCAGCGTTGAGTGGATATGATTAAACCGTGCGGTGCAAATCCGGTTAGGGGCACCAAAACGGACAATATTGGCATAGGCGAATCCGGTTTGGGGCCTATGGCATACAATTTCATCCAGTTTCATACAGTTTATCTTATCACTTCGGTTTCACTATGACCTTATGGAGCCATACAGATATCTTGACATAACATTTCATGAATCATACAGTCTACTATACAGCAAGAAAGATTATCAAGATAAAATGAAAATATCATGATCTGTGTGCTTACATTCCATATGTAAGTACATGTTTATTTCTACATATGTATGTGCTTATATGTTTCTATGTTTCATTATTCATTGTAATATTCACTGAGTTTAATCAGAGTTGCAGAATTCATACAACATAAAGAACATCAGGTAAGATCATGAACGTATATTGTTGTATATGCTTACACGTTTAATTATTGCTTCTGTAAAGAGTCATACAGTCATGAGATGTTATTAATCGTAATTTATATGATGTGACTAAAAGTGCATAAGTCATACAGCATAATGAATAGCAAGTATATTCATTGTTTTGTAAATATAAATTACATTATTTATTTGGGAAACAGTACCAGCATGTTAATATATATTCAACATCAGTATGTTTTCAAGCATGTCAGACATACAGTCAAACCAGTTTTTGGCATCTCGACTCGGTTTCATTCGGGGTTTACGGGTGAACCGTCAGACCATACAGTCAACCAGTTTGTAGCATCTCGACTCGGTTCATTCGGGTTTACGGGTGAACCGGGAAGGGGTGTTACATTCCCAAAATCTGTGCCACTCCGGAAGCATTCGACAATTTTGACCCCAATATCTCTCCATTTATTGCTTAGCACAATATTTTGAGACTATAATACTTTGTCTATTGACCTGTAGGAATCATTGAAATCATGCTTGGGTAATTTCACGCTGGAGCTTTCAGGCCAAAAAATCTAAAGGTATACCCCTTTAGTCTAATAAGCCCTCTAAGAAGTACTGCTCCGAAGCTGATATCTTATGTACGTCTGATGGGCATCTTGTATAGAGTCTTTTAGGAGATAGTATGGGATCTTGTGCTCATTCGGACATGCTTATCTCGCCTGCTTGATGGCTCATTAAGAATTGCATACGCAACATAAATTGATCCCCAAAATTCGTACCACTCCAGAACCGTTTGACAATTTTGACTGAATATCTCTCTATCTGTTGCTTGGCATGACACTTTGAGACCATAATATTTCATCTATTGACATGTACGAAGCATTAAAATCTTCCTCGAGCAATTTTATATTGGAGCTTCGGGGCAAAAAATCCAAAGGTATACTTATTTGGTTTAAGAAGCCCTATAACTAGTCCTACTTCGGAGCCGATACCTTTTGCACGTCTTATGGACTTCTCGTATTGGGGCTTCTAGGTGATAGTATGGATTCTTATAGTCATTTGAATGTGCTTTTCTTACCTGCTCAATGCCTCATTAAGAATTGCATATGCAATTTAAATTCATCCCTAAAATCTGTGCCACTCTAGAAGCAATCGACAGTTTTGAACCAATATCTCTCTTTCTATTGCTTGACATGACATTTTGAGACTATAATACTTCATTTATATTGCTTGACATGACATTTTGAGACTATAATACTTCATTTACTGACCTTTAGGAAGCATTGATATCATGCTTGGGCCATTTCATGCTGGAGCTTCTAGGCCTAAAAATCCAAAAGTATACCTATTTGGTCTTAGAAGCCTTGTAACTAGTCATGCTCTGGAGTCAATATCTTCTGTACGTCTAACAGGTAACTCATATTGGGTCTTCTAGGTGATAGTATGGGTCTTACAGTCAGTAGGACATACTTTTCTTGTCTACTCGATACCCCTTTAAGAATTGCATACGCAGTATAAATTCATCCCCAAAATCCCTGCCACTTCAGAAGCATTCGATAATTTTGAACCAATATCTCTCTGTCTGTTGCTTGGCATGACATTTTGAAACTATAATACTTCATCTATTGACCTGTAGGAAACATTAAAAGCTTTCTCAGGCCTTTTGATACAGGATCTTCTGGCCCAAAAATTAAAAGGTATACCTCTTTGGTCTAAGAAGCCCAGTAATAAGTCCTGCTCAGGAGCCGATATCTTTTGTACGTCTTATGGCTAGCTTGTATTGGGTCACCTAAGTGATATTCTAGAGTCTTGTGCTCTATCAGACATGCTTATCTCACCTGCTTGATGTCTCATTAAGAATTACATACGCAACATAAATTGATCCCTAAAATCAGTGTCACTCTAGAAGAGTTTGACAATTTTGACCTAATATCTCTCTTTTTATTGCTTGGCATGATATTTTAAGACTATAATATTTCTTTTATTGACCTGTAGGAAGCATTGAAATCTTGCTCGAGTCATATCATGCCGAAGCTTCCAGGCCAAAAATCCAAAGGTATACCCCTTTGTCTAAGAAGTCCTGTAATTAGTCCTGCTCCGGAGTCGTGTTTTCCACTTTTTTTAAAATGACATTTTCATAATTAAAATCATAATATCTATAAATAATTTTTCTATAAAATATTTTCATTTGAAAAAATAAAAATAAGTAAAAATAAAATTTTATATTATGCTTTAATAAATAATTAATATTTATTATTTATTTAATATATTATATCCTTTATTTTTAAAAAATTTTACAAAATGATAAAAAATGATATTATTATTATAAACAATCAATAGTAAAAATTCAAAAATAGTAAAAATTCAAAAACTTTTACATACCAAATTTCTAAATTTATTTTATAATATTTTATTACTTTTAATTATGAAAGTTATAAATAATATTTGTTAACTTAAATTAAAATATAATTTTTTTATTATTATCAAGTGAACAAATTTTTCATTTTGTGTTTTCTAGTTTTCATTTTGTAAAAAAACTGTTTTATTAAAAAACAGAAAATAGAAAGCAGAAAACTGTTTTATGTAAGTAAACTATCCCTTAATTCCTTTAATATTTTCCCTCCTTATCAAATAAGGGGAAAAAATGCCGTAACTTAACAATATGACATTCAAAGTTTTACCAAATTATGATTATTTTACAATATTTAACTTAATGCAACATCTAAAGACATTTTTTTTCCCTTATTGAGACAACATTCCTAGGATTAAGGACATAAACACCCTTTGACAACTAACATTAAATTTCATTATGCTCCTTGGATGATTGATGAGTCTTCAAATGCTACCGGTAGAGTACTCGACATCGAACGTTGTCAGGCTAAGGACTTCTTGTTGGTTCAACTTTGCAGTTTCAATGTCAATGGAACGGTAAGATGATTGACCTAACAAATGTTCAGTCTCTTCACTATTTTCACTATTTTGATGATAATCCCGTGATCTCTCATGCAATTTTCTCAATCTGCCAAGCTCTTCTGAAACTTGTTTCATAGTTGGCCTTTTCATGCCACTACCTCGTACGCATTGTTTTGCAAGCTCTGCAAAAACTTCAATCTCTTCCATTTCAGTCTCACTAGCTACATCAAAACAAAGTATCCTAGATAGCTCATTATTTTCTAGAGATGACTCATTATTTTCTAGAGATGAGAGAAAATATTGAATGATGTTACTCTTTTCGCCAGATCTTGCGCTAGAATTTGGTTTCTCCCCTGTTAATAGTTCAACAAGAACCACTCCAAAGCTATAGACATCGCTCTTTTCAGTTAAATTACCTGTCATAAGATACTCTGGATCTAAATATCCAATAGTCCCTTGTATTCTTGTGGCCATATCAGATTGACCTGTAGAAATTAGTACTGAAGCTCCAAAATCAGATACTTTAGCAGTGTAAGTATCGTCTAAGAGTATATTACATGACTTGACATCGCCATGGATAATTGGGGGGGGATCTGCTAAAGAATGCAAATAATCAAGTGCAAGCGCAGTCTCTGCTGCTACTCTTAGACGATTTTTCCATGTGGCTAATATTTTAGACCTGTTGTAATGGATATGCTGGGAAAGGGTTCCATGGGAAATGAATTCGTAAACTAATAAAGGAACGTTAGTCTCCAAACAAAGGCCTAATACCTTGACAACATTTCTATGGTTAACTTGTGAAACAATGCCAAGTTCTTGTTGAAATTCTTGATTTATTTGAGTTTTGTCTTTATCTTTAGGCTTCTTTACTGCAACTTGGGTGTTATCTGCTAAAACTCCTTTATAAACATATCCGAAACCTCCTTCGCCAAGAAGTAAACTTTGATCATAATTTTTAGCATAATTTTTAGTAGCCTTCACTAATTCTGCTTCTGTGAAGATTCTTACCCTTTGGTGCTTCAACAACAAGCCGCCATTTTTCAAAAAATTCCTCTCGTTTCTTCGCCTCTTGTATAGAATGATGATCAGGAAAGCGATAACCATAATGGATGCAACCCCTCCAACAACTATTTAAACAAAATGAAAGATCAGTTATTGATGGTTAAAACTTAATTAATATTAAATAAGGAAAGCAAGAGGATAATGAATTGAGATAGTACTCGCAGCGCAGCAATAGTCGTAATGCGAAATCCTTGACAGCCAACTTTACCATCACCACGCATCCCAAGTGGGCAACTGCATGTGTAGTTCCCATCTGTATTCTTGCAAGTACCATCGCACTTGTACCTGTCTGGTTCTTTGCACTCATCAATGTCTGTTATATAGATATGGAGCGATTCATTAGAGAAAGAATAGAGGAAACCAAAGAAAAATGAAAAGCCAAAATGAAAAAGCCAAAGAACAATAAAACGAGGATGATTGCTTTGAATAACTACCTTGGCATCCCTGTGGAAGATAAGGATTTCCTGTAAATCCATCTGTGCAGTTGCACCGATATCCTCCGACATTTTCAGAGTATATACAATCAGTATTTGGGCCACAAGCATATTTTTTATCCGCATTTGAGGTCGATTTCGCCTCTTCACATGTCTCCTCTCTTACTGCCCATTCAATCACAACATCAGTTGTAAAATATTCTTTAGTCTCTAGCGAATATGGATAAGAAGAGAGCTGCAGATTCGAAAAGTTAAAAGTCCTTTCATCGGCTAGAAACGCAAATTCACACGGATTAAACTGCCAAACCCTGCTATGATTATAAAGGCTTGAGAGTTGAATGTTTATTGTTGTAAGATTTCGCGGTATGATTATAAAGGCTTGAGAGTTGAATGTTTATTGTTGTAAGATTTCGCGGCAGCGGTGTCTGGCAGCATCCACGGCCTGAGCAAGAACCTTCTAGAGTAACATTACTGTCGCACATCGAAATACAGCCGCTACCAAAAGTCTCTTCGTCATCTTCCATTAAGGCTAAAGTATCGCAACCAACTACAGTGAACTTGTTCCGAGTATCAGAGAACCGAACTGGCCGGCCGCCTTTCATTCTAATATATTGACTAAAATTGTACGTTATTCCTGTCTCGTTGTAGCAATTGTTTGCTGATTCAATTCGCACGGAGATGGTTCCTTCTTCTATTGATATATTGTGAATAGGCATGTTTTCCCCAAAAAATAGAGTCGGAGGATCATCACTTACATTGCAAGTTAAGATGAAATGCTTGTTTAGCGCACAATTGTAGGGATTAGAAATTCCAGATGTGAAGTTGATTCCAAATGGGTATGGAACAAGAACGTCCCCACATCTTTCAGGACAACTAGAAGAAATTACATCAATAGATGTTACGGGTTGAGAGATGAATGTCAATATCACAAACCAGAAAGGTAACATCTTTTCTTTCTCAGATTTCTCAATTACACAATCTAAAGAAATTTAAAGGAAAGGTGGAAAGGTCTTAGCTATGTATGTGGAAGATAAGAAGAAGAGTTGACCAAGTAAATTTCTGCCTGCTTGCCAACTTCATTCATTGTACCTGTTGATGTTGATATGTAAGACAGACTTATATTCACCAATGAAATTATTGAAATATTTTTAAATATTATTAAATTTTCAAAATTGAAAATTCAACGGAATTTTGGGAAATATTAGCCGCGCAGACTAGGCACGAGAGAAAAGCTCTCGGATTCGATTCCCACTAAACACACTTGCAGAGAATGGTGAAAAGATTTTAATTATTACTAATCCCGAGCCGAATTAAACTGTCCTGAAAAATTGTTGCTGAGCAGGAAATTCTACAGTATCACACATTAAATTCTACGTTAGGATACGGATTGATACTGAATGTTTTCTACAAGTTGAAAGATGCATTGTAGCTAACTATTGTACTACGTTTTGACACAGTCAAGCACCAATAGTAAAAATAGAACAAACAACACAACCAAAACTTATATTTATTCACTAGTACTAGAATGTGTGTATTTTTAATGAATAAAAAAAATCATAGATCCAAATATTTTTAAACTTCAAAAATCATGGATGCATTTTTTTTTTTTTTTGTTGAGAAAATTCATCATTTTTCATAAATATATATGTAAAATTCACCAAATCCCTTGATAAGGAGAGCCGGTTCTCTTTTTTTTTTTTCTCACCTAGATTGTGTCAAATAACTAAATATTAATTAAATGATTAATCAAATAAATATTTCAATAATAACAATTATTAAAAAATTAAATAAATTAAGAAATGTTTATTAACTATTCATTTTTTTTATATATAGAAAGTTTAATTGGCCGAAATAACATTGTGAACTATACAGTATGAGCTAGCTCTCCCCTTTAAATAACATTCACCAAATTTGCGATAACCTTTATGACGGAGAAAACTCGAACTTTCTATATTTTCCACAAAAGATAAAAAGACTAATCAGAGAACACCTAATTAGTTTTATTGACTATTCACTGATGTTAATATTAGTATTAGTATATGTAAATTGACAGGTTATTAAAAGTCTTCAACGCGTTAATCAGAAACTAATAATTTTTTTTCTTTTTAATTTTTAAATGGAAATTATGATGTTATTTCTAATAGCAAAGACTTGGTCCGTCAGTTGACTGACTTAACATACCAAGTTGGAAAAGTTGGCCTTTTATTAAAAAATGAAAACGTTACGAATGACGTTTTAATTATTGTTTGATATTACTCCTAGTCAATTAATTGGATTTGACCCCTTTAAACATTCTCTCCTAAACCAAAATGATATCCTAATTACATGACTACCTACCTAAAATCATAACTAAATTCCAATAGCATTGTAAAAATAGAAAAATAATTTTTATTATTCATAAAAATGTTAAAGCTAATTTTCTTATATATATTAAAATAAAATCCAGTTTAAATGATTCAAAATAAACTATAATATATTATTATCTAACTTTATAAATTTTATTATTCTGCTGTAAATTTTAATTATAATATTTCTAACTTTATAAATTTAAATAACTAAAATTATTGACCTGATTAGTGCTAATTTACTGAATTTTACATTTTTTTATATAATATATTAACCCTTGATATATAAATTTAAATAACTAAAATTATTGACCTGATTAGTGCTAATTTACTGAATTTTACATTTTTTTATATAATATATTATTATCTCGTTAATAAATTTAAATAAACATAAATAATATATAGAGAACCTAATGGCTCTCCTAAAAACTAAACATAAAATAAAACTATTATAACTAAATAGCATCACTTCACTGAAGTAATCAGATATTAATAAAAAATTGAAAATTAAATTTAAAAAAATGGATTGACCTATAAAGTAACTAGTTAGATAAATTTTTTTTTTTTAAATTGAAAAGTGAACTTAAAAAATTTATTGACCTTTAGAGTAACTAACTAGACAAATTTTTATTTTTTTATGCTCCCGGCTTGATTAGCTATAAATTAATTGTTTATAACAAAGACAAATTGCGGTATCAAACTCTAAGAGATAAAGATTATAATTTATATAATAAATTCTCCATAGATTACACATAATTCTAAATAAAAACAAACCAAATGTAAAGAAAGAAGACAAAATACTCTATATAAAATAAAGAGCTAACTCTCAATGCAAGATAGATACAAACCATGAGAAAATACCGAAAATATAATTGATATAGATATGATAAATTCTGAAAAAAATGATAAGATGTGTTTTGTCGAGTGTTTGGAGAGAATTGAGAAAAATAATGAAAGAGGAGAGAAATTTTATGATTATCTGCCTCGTCCCCTTTTCTTTCTATATATATAAATTTTTAAAATATAAACTATTGGTATTAGACTGTATTACTAGAGACCGACTAAATTCAATTCGAGATTTAGTCACATTTAAAACTTTTTATCTCTCCTGCAGGTGTATTTAGTGGAAATCGAACCGATAGATTTTTTTTTACATATCCAGTCTGAGCCGCTGTGCATATATAAATTTAGAACACAATCCGTTAGTTTGTTTTTGTAGATGAGACAATAGAGATTAATGGAGGATTTTCAGAGATGTTAGAGGAGTTTGAGGAGATATAATTCATACTGTGATTTCAATAGATTTCTTAGGGATTTATGTTTTATATAAAAAATATATATGAAATATTTAGAATATATTCTAGTATTATCAAAGAGGTACGTCAAACGAATATAAATCAATAATTTATTTAATGAAAAATATAAAAATTTATAAAAAAAACGAAATATAAAGACTGGAATGGACCCTTCTTCATATCTACATACTTGATACTTTGTGTTTGGTGAACAAAAAGAAAAAACAAGTAAATTTAACGAAGAAGCTGGATTTACATTAGTATCCATATCCTATCAAGTTTTATAGGGAAACTTTTTTTGGAATTTAGTGGAACAACAGAAAAATTCAGTCACGTATACATATAATTGCAAGCAACTGGTAATTGTTACTGTGTTTTCTCGCTTTGGTTTGCTTTGGTTTCTTCTTGTCTATGGCTGCCAGCGCGAATCCTTCAGGGAATAATCAAGAAGGTGCTTCAGCTCAAAAAGTTCCATCTATTGATCTCTACATAGTTTTCTCTTTCTTTAAAACTTCAAGTGCTCAAAATTGGTGTCAAGATTCAAGGAAGCTGCTCAAGCTAATAGTTGACTAGTTTTTATTTCTAAACTCTCTTCTTGTTTATTATTCATTGTGGAATTATTTACAAGTTTAATTGAGTTTAATTTATTTACTATGTCGAACTAAATCTTTTTACTGGATATATGATGTAGCTTGACTTCAATTCCAGTTTATAATATTAGATTTGATTTTCTTTATTCAAATAAAATTTATTATTAATCTTAATGCTTCTAAGCGGAGTTTCTCCCTTTGATTGATTTATTTCATTAATCACTGTCAAGAGAAGGATTTTTGATATGAACAGGATAATAAATTTCATAGGAATAATAATTTGATGCGAGAGCTAGATGGTTTGACTCGTGGTAGGTTGTCATAAAATTAAAGGCCTTAATTTGTGGATTCCTCAATAATCACAAGAATTTAATGATTTAATCTATGTTTGGTTGCGTCATTGACAGATGGATAATTGAATTGGGTTAAAATAGCTAATAAAACATCGAGAGAGCTTTTTAGCGATTTTAGGGTTATTTCTCCTTTTTCAATAATTAAAATTGATTATCAAACTAATAGGATAAACTGGATAGAATTAAGTGAAGTCAAAATCTCTAATAACTTTCAAACCTTGATTTCTTTTCAACAAATTCTTGCTTGATCTCATTCTTATTGTTTTTACTTTAATTCTTTTATTTTCAAATACATTATTTCTTTTCAACAAATTCTTGCTTGATGCTCATTCTTATTGTTTTTACTTTAATTCTTTATTTTCAAATACATTCTCTTATTGTCGTTTTTTTAAATAATAATAGTTAACACAATTTTAATATTTAATACTTGGTATACAATTTTTATGGAACGATACGCTACTCACTTCTATTACTTGTACAATTTCGTACACTTGCTCAAAAAGCCTGTCATCATTTAATTCTAATTTTAGATTGGAGCTGTCTTGTTGATAAACTTAAATATGTGTATTTCCATCTTCTTTTTTTTCTTTATTTTTTTTGCGTGCTATTATTATTTGTCTCGAGATAGATATTTCATTGATTTATATATTTTTTGTCCTTCTCTCATGAGAATTTAGAATGTATGATATTTGATTTTATTTAGTTAGAGATAGATATGGATTTTCTACAAATGAAGGTTGACAGTGCAACACATTACTAAATTATTGACCCATAGTTTTGGAAACTCGTCTATACACATCACATGTATCAAATTCTTAAAAGGCAATTTAGGTATAGAAAATCCCAGAAAAGTTATTTTTGACGTCCAAATCAGATAAATAATTAGTTATCATTACGAAGATTTATATTTTTTATTAAATATCATCTTCAAACAGAACAATAAAATGTTAGTTTTCGATAAAAAATACATTAACATTCCCAACTTATTATTGTGTAACTAACATTTACATCCCTCTAATTTGATAAAATAACTTTCAGGGCCCTAACTTATGTCTTTATATGATTATGATTCCCTCCATTCGGAAAAAGCTCCATTTGCCGTCTATTGTGTAAGAAAGATCTGAACTGCCCCTTATAATTTCTACTCATCAGTGAATAAAATATCCAAAATATGTATCATTTTGCCTTCTTTAAAGCTCGAATAATAAAATATCCAAAATATGTATCATTTTGCCTTCTTTAAAGCTCGAATTCAAGTTTGAACTTGGTTTATCAATTAAATGGGCTTGAATAGGATCAAACTCATCTTGTTAAGTTTGTTGAATGAACTCAAATGAACTTTCTTTAAGATTGAATTTCTTATTTTCGAGCAGCTCGCCAACAGTTTAGCTAATTTAGAGCTTCTAACTTCCAAATAAAAATGAAGGTGACCAAGTCAAATATTATCAGTGGAATATTAATTATTTGTTCTTAGACAAAAACGTGTGAGGTTGATATTCATCTTAATATCAAGGGAAGACTTGTAGTCTGATGCAAAACTTAGGTTTTGTCAGATAAATATTAACTATTTTAGTAATTGTTAAGTGTTCTGGCAGCAGTCAAATTCTAAGCATTAATATAAATGTTATACTAATGAATACAATAAATAATAAAAGTAAGATTTACGGGTTGTAATTCAATTGGCACCGCAGGTTGGATATGTGAGAAGAGCTTTCGGATTCCATCCTCACTAAATACACTTGCAGATAAGGGTGAAGAGACCTTACTGTAACTAAATTTCAAGCCAAATTAGGCTGTCTTTGAAAAATTGTTGCTTAGCAGGAAATTCTACATATCACACATAAAATTCTACATTAGTACACGGATTGATACTGAATCTTTTTTACAAGTTGAAAGATGCATTGATAGCTAACTATTGTGCTACGTTTTGACATATATAGTAAAGCACCAATAGTAAAATAGAAACAAACAACACAACCAAAACTTATATTTATTCACTAGTACTAGTTTGTGCGTATTTTTAATGAATAATAATAATAAAAAAATCATAGATCCAAATATTTTTTTAAACTTCAAAAATCATGGATGCATTTTTTTTATTGTTGAGAAAATTCATCATTTTTTATAAATACATATGTAAAATTTACCAAATTTGGAATAATCTTTATGGCGAAGAGAGCTCGAACTTTCTATATCTTCTACAAAAGATTAGTTTTATTGACTATTCACTGATATTGATATTAGTATATGTAAATTGACTGGTTATTATAAGTCTTCTTTGTGTTAATCAGAAACTAATGAATTTTTTTCTTTTTAATTTTTAAATGGAAATTATGATGTCATTTCTAATAGCAAAGACTTGGACCGTCAGTTGACTGACTTAGCATACCAAGTTGGAGTTGGAAAGTTGCCTTTTATTAGGAAAATGAACGTTACAAATGACTTTTAAATTATTGTTTGATATTTACTCGTGTCAATTTAATTGGATCTTGGCCCCTTTAAAACATTCTCTCATAAACCAAAATGATATCCTAAATTACATGGGACTACCTTACCTAAATCAATTTATTTCTAATTACATGACTACCTACCTAAAATCAATTAATTTTTAATTGATTCAAAATAAACTATATTTATTATATTTATTTACCAAATTTCTAAATCCATGCAGACAAAATTTATGAAAATAAAACATAATTAATGATCAAATTAAATCTAAAAAAATTAAACTTGCTCTTCTTAACATCATAGAAACATTAACACAATTTATCTCTTATTACAAAACTACGTACCTTAAACATCTCCATTAATCCTATGATTAAAATCTTATCGGATGTTAATCATCCCACTAATCTACTAATTAATGAAAATTCTTGCTTTCTAGATTACACTAATCTACTAATTAATGTACAATTGAATGGAGTGGCTATGAACTTAAACTTACTTTCCAGATATATAAGGAACGCCATTTTTAGGAGCATCACCTTGTAATCCAGATATAATTTCTGTCATATCTCTAACCAACATACGATCTTCACCATAGCTCTCATAGCACCTTCCCCATCTCGGATCTCTACAGACCTATTATGTGTATAAAGCATATCATGAAATGTATAAATAATTTCATAATTTAAGATACACAGTAAGTTAGGGCCCTAAGAGTTATTTGATGAAGCTAGAGGGATGTAAATGCTAGTTACACAATAATAAGTTGGGAATGTTAAGTATTTTGTTTTCTTATCAAAAAAACCGGCTCTAAGATGATTTGATTGTATTACCGCAATGCATGGAGCAAAAACATAATTAATGCCTGTTGCTCTAACTTCAAGAGCAGTTGCAGCCCCAATCCTCTTCACAAGATTAGGATCCCTGCAATAGAATTTTAGATATAAGGTTCTTATCATAGTTTACAGAGAAATTATAATCTTATGGTAGGAGCAATGCTTAGCATGAATTCTACATTTTAATCTAAAATGGTTATTGCATAGTTGACAAATTTCAGTGATTATAGAATCAGATTGTCAAGTATTGATCAATGCTTTGAAGGCTGACAAGGGTGAGCAAACTTTGGAAAATACTAAAAACCCAACCCAAACCAAATTATTTTCAATTTTTAGTTCGGTTATTTTCAGTCTTTGGATCGGTTATTATAAATATTTATTCTGAATCGTTTGACCGAATCAATGAGTACCGAACCAAAGTGACCGGTTTGGTTAGGTTTCTGAGCTTATTTCAGTTTCAAAGAAAAATTATTTCATTCTTTTTTTTTCCTGTGGTTCGGTTCGAATCCGAATCACCTGGTTGCACAGCCCTGTTATCTCATTTTGGCTTAGTGGTTTTAAATTCTAAGTCTTTCCTTGGTGCGATTCGAGCAAATTTCATCTGTATTTGTTAAGAGATAGCCGAACCACGTTGATCATACAATTGCAAGAGCATTTATTTCTATGTCTGATTTCCAACGAGATAGCCGAACCAGGTTGAACCATTTTGGAACCAATTAAGCATTCCAATCCAATCCTCTGGAGTAGCCAAAGGCTTTAACTACAAAAAAAATAGCATTTTGCGACCGACAAATCAGTAGCAAAATGCAAGAAATCGGTCGCAAATTTCAATTAGCGACCGATCTGCGACCGATGTTGGTCGGTCGAAAAAATGCTCGTCGCAAATTATTTTGCGACCAATTTTTTCGTCGGTCGCAAATTAGCGACTGATAAATCGGTCGCAAAATTGAAAAAATCGGTGGCAAATGTTCGTCGTGTTTTCCGTTGGAAACGCTGTCGCAAATTGGTCGCAGAAAAAGTCTGTCGCAATTATGAAATTCGATCGCAAATTGTAAATTTAAAGTTTTTATTTTTGGTCTGTAAATTTAAGGTTTTTATTTTTAGGTCGGCAAATCGGTCGCCAAAATTTAAAAAAAAATAAAAAAAATAAAAAATTATTATAAAACCATAATTTTTGCAAACTATTGAAAATTGCCATATAATATATTATATAATATATATATATATATCACAAACACAATTTAAAAACAATATAAAAATGTAATTGTTATTATACTGAACAAAATGTTAAAAAACAATTAGAAAACTAAAAACCATTGTCTGCAGTAGTAAGAGCAAGTAGATTTCCTTCCTTATTGAATCTCAAGCGAGGAAGACTCTGAAGCAGTTGATACAATTAAGTGCCTAGTTTTACAAAAATGAGCATCTTGCACAAGAGCGCTAGAATTAATCAAATAACTAACCGGCAGTCCACCATCCGCATCTGTGCTTGTGAAAACATTGGTATTATCGATATCCCAAAACTTTATCTAGCTATCTTCACCTGCAGCCAAAACTGCAGCCAAAATGTGGTTTTGTGTGGTGTCAAACTGCACTACACCTGCAATTGATTTCTTTCTGAACCCAACATAGTGCCTCTTTATCGCTTCTTCACTTTCGTTCCATTCAACTAGGAAAGAATCCCCCTCTTTACTTGTTCCACAAGAGAATAATCTGAAAGAAGGGAGCAGAAGTGACAAATAATTTGTTAAAAAGACAAAAATAATATAATTAAAAAGGCTAAGTAAAATGGCACCAAAGATTTTGACAACAATATGCCAAAAAAAAAAAAGATCTTTAGAAACAAATAAACAAATATATTTAAAGTTAATTAATTAAGTTCAATTTTTAATAATCGTATTAATATTACCACTACCATCAGCACTGTAAGCATTGGTAGTGCACCAGCGGCCTGGTGCATCATAATCAAACCCTGGTGCATCATAATCAACTCTAGGTCCCACATTATCATATAGCCAGGCCTTTATTTTTCCATCAATAGCAGTTGCGAATATAAACTGCAAGTTCACAACTCAAAAGGTTAACGCCACTGTAACATGTCTTCTATAATTAATTTAAAATGTAATTGATATTATACCGCTAAAAAACCCTATTGGTAGATTGGCAGCACCACAAAGAATAAGATTCGAGTGGTTCGCTTTGCTACAACAAATATGTTGGAAGAAAAGGAGCAGGCCTAATAGGCAGAGAAGTTGGCACAGTCATTGATAAGGAATTGCAGAATATGCACCCTATATATCAGTGGCATTACAAGTTTTAATGAATCAAGGTAATTATGGATTATTAGGGTAAAAATCTTAGGCTAAATAAGACAATAACTGATTAGCCCTTTCATTTTTCTGACATACCTGAATGCTTTCTTTATGGTGAGGACATATAGAATAAACTGGAGCCTCATGACCTTCAAAATTAAATAATTTCCGTCCCCCCTGAAATCCCAAAACCTGTTTTCATGTCTTACATGTAGAAAACTCCATGTTTTAATTATCCTCCTTGTGAAAATTAATGTTTACCTTTATTAGCTTAATTTACCTTTATTAGCTTATCATCTCCACAGGTTACAACACACAGTTGTTTGTTTGGATGAGCAAAAGCCAAGTCATTAACACCCCCAACGTGAGCATCAATCTGAATTTTTTTTTTTTTTAAAAAAGGGCAAGTAAATCCTACAGTTGCAAATTTTGCCTCACATGATTTGCAGGTATCAGAGCTCACCTCTAACTGCTGGCGTAGATCATTTGATCCATTATAAGCATACAGGTGAACCAAATGCTTATTAAATGCACCTCCTGTAGCATAAAAAACAATAAGATGACAAAAAAGCTCCTTATGGTGCCAATTTCTTATTGAAGGCCACATACCCACAAGACTTCCATCAGAATTCCATGTTACACGGTTGACAGAAATTGGTGCATCTTTGACAAAGGACGCCTGCAAGAAACTCTCAAATATAAGGAGCAAAAACATTATCGCTTCAAATTCTAAAGTACTGCAATAGATGTGTATCCAATGCAAACCCACAGTTTTTATTTCTTAAACTCTCTACGATTTAAATTCTACACTATCACACATTAAATCTACGATATACTTACATGTTTTCTACCAAGTTGAAAGAATGTTTTCTACAAGTTGAAAGATGCATTGATAGCTAACTATTGTGCTACGTTTTGACATAGTCAAGCACCAATAGTAAAATAGAAACAAACAACACAATCAAAACTTATATTCATTCACTAGTACAAGCACGTGTGTATTTTTAATGAATAAAAAAAAAAATCATAGATCCAAATATTTTTTAAACTTCAAAAATCATGGATGCATTTTTTTTATTGTTGAGAAAATTCATCATTTTTCATAAATATATATATGTAAAATTTACCAAATTTGTGATAACCTTTATGGCGGAGAGGGCTTGAACTTCTTATGTCTTCTATAAAAGATAAGAAGACCAATCAGACCACACATGATTAGTTTTATTGACTATTCACTGATATTGATATTAGTATTAGTCTATGTAAATTGACCGGCTATTATAAGTCTTTATCACGTGTTAATCAGAAACTAATGAGTTTTTTTCTAATGAGTTTTTTTCTTTTTTAATTTTTAAATGGAAATTATGATGTCATTTCTAATAGTAAAGACTTGACCGTCAGTTGACTGACTTAGCATACCAAGTTGGTAAAGTTGGCCTTTTATTAGAAAATGAAAACGTTACGAACCACGTTTTAATTATTGTTTGATATTATTCTGAGTTCGTGTTGATATTTCTATGTAATGGGTTCGTCGACAAGCAACTTTTGCAGCTCATACTCTAGCTAGAGCTTCAAAAAAAAAAAAAAAAAAAAAAAAAAAAAAAAAAAAAAAAAAAAAAAAAGGATTTGGCCCCTATAACATTCTCTCCTAAAAGGCACAAAAGGAATATCCTAATTACCATTGACAAACCTACCTTAAAATCATAACGAATTTCCAATAGCATTTACAAAAAATAGGAATAGAAAAATAATTTTTATTATTCATAAATATGTTAAAGCTAATTTTGTTATATATATTAAAATAAAATCCAGTTTAATTGATTCAAAATAAACTAAATTTATTATATTTATTTACCAAATTTCTAAATCCATGAAGACAAAATTTATGAAAATAAGACATAATTAATGATCAAATTAAATCTACAAAAATTCAATTTGCTATTCTTAACATCATAGAAACATTAACACAACTTATCTCTTATTACAAAACTACCTTAAACATCTCCACTAATCCTATGATTAAAATCTTATCGGATGTTAATCATTGCACTAATCTACTAATTAATGAAAATTCTTGCTTTCTAGCTTGATTTTGCACCTTGAGTAGTGAGACCAAAACCATAGGGAAAAAGAGGATCATAATGTGCATCACCAGAAATCATGGGCAGCTGATCTACGGACTTGAACCAAGTTCGAGACAGCTTCCCACTAAATCCATAGTCTCCGAAAAGCACATCCGCAACTCCATGTCCTTCAGTTCCTGGAAGCCAAGCGGCGACAAGAGCATCTATTTGGGGCATGTATGGCTCAATCACCAAAGGGCGGCCGGAGATTACAACAACAACGCATTTAAATCACCAAAGGGCGGCCGGAGATTACAACAACAACGCATTTAGTGGTGCCACAGACATTGTTGATCACAGAAGGACCTGGTTCTGTTATTGTCAGGTTGAGATTATCTCCGTTTGTTTCTGCATAAGGAAGCTCTGCAATAACAACAATGGCGTAGGAGAAGTTGTTGGCCTTGATAAAAGCAACTTCAGGATTTTCACTGTAGGTTATTTCTGTGCTTGGATCAACAGCAGCTGAGATTCCACTAAGAATAGTGGTTCCTGTTACATTACAATACAACATCAACAACTAAGTCTTAGTACAAAACTATTTAGGCCGGCTATATGAATCGTTTATTTCAAATATTCGCGGTGATGTCCCGTGGATCAAGGCCCATTAATATCAAGGACACCATAAAGCACAGCCAAGTATTCCCGGGAAAAAGGGTTTTTACCGTGAGGTCATACCTCGTATAGTTTCGTTTGCCATTAACGCCTTGCCAAGTGTATTAGTTCTCTGCAACCACCACCACTTCCACTTACCCCGCAAGAATATTGCTTTAGGAGCATCTCGGGCTAACACAAAGCCACCACGTCTACCTGCACTGCAACCTTTTTTAGAAGATCTGCGAGCACAATGGAGCAGTGCATGCGTTTCTCTCCATTCTTCAAAAGGTCCAAGGCGAGAGTGACTTCCTCACAGCTTCCGCGTGTAGCAACATACTGTCCTATGAGAACCCTACTTATAACCTCATGTCCCATTTATGAGAGCCCCTTGATTCATAATCCATAAAAAAGAAAATTTAAAGTCCAACATTAAAGTTTATTAACTAAGACCTGGCTTCCAAGGTATGGTCTGTAAGCTCTGATCAGCCCATTGGATCTTCAAACAAGCCTAGAGTGAGGACCTCAATTCCTTTCATCTTAATAATGATCCTGATATGTCATTCTACTCTCCGAAAATTAAACCTATGCTTCCCTCCTTCATTTCATTGATAGTTAAGTAACCCTACCAATTCCATATATATTTCTTATTTGTTAACATTTTATTACAAACACAATAATTAGTACTTACCTCTTCTTCAAAAATGATAATTCTAACAAGACATTAAATGAATAAATTCAATCCAAAAAAGAAAAAAAAGATTGCACAATTTCAAATTCATTAAAAGGGACATTAAGCATTTCAAAGACCTAACTCCTCCTTGTCGGATTTCCTCGCAATACGATCATATACTGCTAATTGGGCCACCTGATTTCTCTTCTTAGGTCCACACCCACTCCAGCATTAGCTTGCTTCACCTCTTCAAAGCTTTTTCCATTTTCTTTCCAAGTCTTTTAATGCTTCTGATTAGGGTTTCTTCACCTGAGCAAACATTTTTCTTTTTCGACGAGAAGCTTCTCTTTCTGAGCGGTTAACCTGTTGAATTTCAGTCTCAATTTTCCTCACTTCATTGGAAATCTTTTGAGAGCTCAGGGAATCCAAGGAAACTACCGTTTCTCTCGGACTTTTTCTTGTAATTTGAATCAAGCTTTGTTGTTTTCTCCAGAAGAGATTTCCCTACGATTCTTCAGCTGCTTCTACAGTGGCTTTAGCAGTTAGGGGATTATTTCTTGAAACTCTTTTAATCGAGAGGCAAGATCTTCAAGCAACTGTTTTTCTTTTATGCAAATCGTTTGGTATTTTGGAATAAGTGTACGGGATTATTTCTTCAATTATTGCAAAGACGTTAGCCTGTTGGATTCCTCTAATGACATGTTAAAGAATCCTGCCATGCTTCATTTTTCTTGCTTGCCAAATTTCAGGGCTAGTGTGAACCCCTGAAATATCATCAGTTGAAAGATGATCTTTGGGTTGTAGTTCTGCTTGAAAGCTCTGTTTAGGAGGACTCTTAGATTTTGTTAGCACATTCTTGGGAGGGATTCTTTAGAACTCAACGAGGGAATCCTGTCATTTGTGGCAGCCCCAAAAAAAAAAATGTCTATTTTCTTTTCAGAAGAAAAATTCAAAAAACTTTCTTTTAATGGAAAGAATTAACCCTTTGGAAGTTCCTTTTCCTTAGCGAATGACTGGAGGAAGGTGGTCGGCTGGCCTTGGGGTGCTTATGTGTATCAGGATTTCTTTATGCATCTCGACTGATTACTGAAGGATCATAACATTGCTGACGTAAATTCAGCTTCTATTAGAGGAGTAATCGTCCACAAGATTTAAATATTAATCATTAGATCTCCTATGATTGCTAGAGGAACATAAATATGGGAAACCCCAACCAACTCATTTTGCATTTGAATTCAATGTTTTTGTTTCTGCAAAATATACCATAAAGTTTAAGCCAATATATATAGTATTGGCTGTAGCCTCACCAGAAATTTCAAGCGTGACACATATATAATATCAAAATAGGTTATGGCAACTTTTAGATATAATTACAGAGGGGGAAATCCCTCCTCTAGTTTCGATAAATTTCAATCTGAGATCGGGATCCCTTTTTCATTAGTATGAAGTTCAATAAGACTGTTGGTTTAGGTGGCTTATAGAATCCCACATCGGGAAAATTGGGAAGGGAATAGTGAGTCCTTTGCCTTATAAATTAGGAGCCTACCTCCTTTTAAGTTTTAATCATCCCAACTTGTCTCCAATAAACCTGAGTAAGTTAGAAGTTTCCTCTTCTTCTCTAAATTTGTATAATTTTTCTTATTTATTGCTTTGTGTTATTGTTTGATTAATTGGCGATGTTCTAGATAAAAATTCTGTTCAAATGACACGATTTTAAGGTCTAACAGGCAAGTTGGATTTTTAAGTTGAGAGCCATTTGGACTCCTCCACTTATCTAGGAAATTTTACTTATGTACAGTAATTCACAAATTGTTTTTTGGCAGAAAAAAGCTCAAATTTCCCACAACAAAGACCACGTCCAATTAGTATAATAGAATAATTTATTAATAATACAATTTCTACTTTAATTAACATTCTCGAAGGACATTACAATCCTTTTCACCCATTTGTCACTGTATAAGCTGTACCTAACACAAATTGTGCAAAAAATGTTTTCTCTGACTAGGACTGGGTAGCTCACTTGGATGATTTAATAACTGCTCTATAACTAAGAGAGTGTTGACTTTTCCTTGCTCCATGGCAGAAGTGGTCAATACTGCGCGTTGCATCTATGTCACATGAGCTGCCAGATACCCCTAATTGGCCCCCCAGATTTTAATTTCGAGTTCCTCACCTTTGTTTTCCTTTGGGAAAACAATTACAATACGACTTCTGAAAATAAAAATTGTTACTCAAGAGAACACCAATCAAAAATAGGAAGATAATTTAACAGTGAAGTACATCCTTCCACCCGTCGTTAATACTTTTTGCTGCATTAATTTGTTTACTTGTCACAATAATAGACATTAATTCGCACTATATTATAAAAACAATATAAGTATTGATTTCACTGATTAATGTGCTCCCAGAGTAAAGTCTCTCGATTGCTTCCTCTTAGAGATCTCCTCTTAGTCTCTATAAACAAGCCAAGCGTCCAGCCGTTTCTTTCATCCCCGCATTAAGAACTGATAATTTCACAAACTACTATACAATAGATTTTTGACACCATCAATATAATATTTTAGGACTCAATAAAAGAGCACAAAAATAATTTAGGAGAAATACCGAAACAACATTGATCATAATATATATTAACTAAAAAAAAGACCAGATAGTGGATATGAGCTGATTTATTATGATATACAGTGTCTTCGATTTTTAGTTTTGATATTAGAAAAAAATTAAAACTATTGTGGTTAACTGGTTCTTTAGTTCGTTACCGTGCTTATATAATGATCCTCCGAATTCACTTATCTTTCGACTATTACCACACCAGGGTAAACCTCCAACAATATTTTTAAAAGCGCTTTATAATACTTCGATTCGTAATCACACCTAACAGAAAGAACAAATAAAAATCTTAAATCGGGTGTAAATTAAACTGGTTAGTTTTTAATTTAATTAATGTTTTTATTTTTTTTATAATTAAGTTATCTCTTAAATATAATTTCTGTTTATTACCGTATATTAATTCCTATGTGAAATTGAATTTTCAAGATTTTGAAACAAACTAACCAAGTTCTTAATTCTAATTAATATTAAGCTACAGGTGAATATGCACAAGGACTATTAATAGGGGTTCCTCTATACCATTTACAGGGCTATCGAGAGAACAATAAATATCCTCCCCCATATAGACAACTTACAGTTTTCTTGACAGTAATCTTGGAAAAAGTTTTTAAATTGTTTTTCTCATTTGGAAATTTCGTATAATGGAAAGCAAAGAGACCTCCACGAAACCACCCTATTACCTTCATTGTATGATTTATTATGCTCTTAACAAGAAAATAGCAATAAAGTTTGGGAAAAAGAAAATTTATAGAACAAAGTAAAATAAAAAAAAAAAGCTTGCGGCTATGATACGATACACCGTATGAAAGTTTGACCCGAAATTTTTCAGTACTGTATTACCTGCCATGGCTTAGTTAATTGACTTTTGGCCTCTAAATGCAAAGTTCTTGCACAATCATAATGTGACAAATACTATATAGATGGACTACCTATAATCCACTCAAACTTAACCTTTGTATAATATCAATTGTCTTCTCATGCTCCAGTCTTGGCTAACTTATAATCATTATCTGATCAAAGCTCATATATATAAAGGCTCTCTTATTACTGTTCCTTTGTCACTCTCCTATATGCCACATTGTCTCATTTTGAATAAGGTCTCCCATGTGTTCTGTGTTGCTCTTTTCTCGATGAAGAAAAAGCGAAATTAAAACAATTTCGAATAAAGGATTCAAAATTTCAACTCATAAAATACACTCCTAAGAGTTGTGACACACAGGATAAAAATTGCCCTATTTTTATGACGGCAGCAAAACTGAACATCATATATATTTTGAAATTATCTTTCCATTATACCGCCTGAATTTTGAAGCAGAAAACATTTTATATACAACAAAGTCCCCTACCATCCTACTCGGATGGAACCGTCGTATATTAAACAATCAATTTCAATGTAATCAATCTCATTCCAATATGGAGACTCCTACTACATGAAAATTATTTCTGCATACCTATATTATTTTGTTGATATTGACCGAAGAGTACAATTCTCACACTCTCAATAAGGATTTGTGAATTACTCTCCTTAAAAATCTTTGCGTATAGCTCGTTAAGAAGTCCCCACACCAAACATTCAAACAACATGACTAGATTTCATTTCAATTTCAATATCTCATTCTAGAATTATGAGCATTTACTCTAAGTCTAGGTGTGGAATC